ATGGAGACTTCCATGCAGTTTCCTTGGCAACAATATGGAACTGGTTTGTTAAACCACTTTTCTAAACTCCTCATCCAGCTACTGCCCTGGGTTTTCTGGTGGTCTCTCAACCAAGAACTAACCAAGTCTGTCCTTACGTAGCTATTTGAGATAAGTTAAATCATGGCAGTAGCCTTTTCCAGCTTCTTCCCTACTTCTTTCGGAGAGGCCAGGCAAAACTGGTGATGACACTAATTACATCTGCTCAGGAACAGGAGTGAATAGGTTGGAGGATGGATGGGTTATCTCTTTCTCCTCCTGCTCTGACTGGCAGGGAATTTGCTGGTCTATTTTTTGTTTTGTTTTGTTTTGTTTTTACACGAAAGCAATGGTTCTCTTCTGTACATTTGTTTAAAAATAATCCCAATAAACTCAACAGAAATTACAGTCTTATATCCATGCATAAGATGGCTGTGAAGGCTAATATATGGTGTGTAGTCTGGTTGCTTCCCGCTGAGTTTCAGTGATTCAGTGTTTGGCCACACACTTGTTCCCACTGCAGATGTTTGAAGCCAAATATTGTAATGCTTGTTGGTATCTTAATCCTTAAAATTCCCTAGCAGAAGTTAAATGTCTGCCCCTTCTAAGGCTGTTTTGTGTCTGTATCATCAGCAACTAACTCAGGATTCCCTTAGCATAGGAGGAAATCCTGGATGTTTTAGAAATGACATACTTGGTTTACATTGCATTCTGTCAACACAGCTAATGCGGCTACAGGACAGAAGAACATGGCTGGGATAATATTGCATTCTGGCAATCTGTGTCTATGAGGAATGCAATCTCTGTGTCATCTGGTAAGGCTTCTCTGTTTTGTGCAAAGTTCCAAATGGCACCTCTTTATTTATTTAAGGACTTTAGGTCAAAACCAACACCTTAATTGTGCCAAGAAAGGACTTGGGAGCCAGTGCAAATATTGGTAACACTCTCTTGGAAATTCAACCAAATTACCAGCTTGTGCACTTGTGCACCTAGCAAGTATCCAGGCAATCATCAAGAATATCTCTACCCATAGCACATTACAGTAATCTAACTTGAATCGTATTCATCAAAACCAACTTTTAGAAAGGGACACTGTCTTTTCACAAAAGCTCATGAAACAGGGAAGAGTGTGTGTATGTGGTGTAAAAAGTATTTGCATTTTTAAAAGAAGAGCTTATCCAATTAAAATGTTACAGTTTGAATGAAGAAAACTACAAACTGACTTAACATGCTGATGTGTGGTTCATTTAAATTGTACAGTTAATAAGATGTATCCCTATGTTTTTAAGACTGCAGTGATAAACTGACTTGGAAATGAATTCTGTGAATGTATTCCAGTTTAAAATGTGTCATATTACGACATAAAACAAGTAGACTGTGATCAAGCTGAAACAATTGGACATTTCTTTAAAGTAACACCTATTCAACATTATATAATTTGATCAAATGGGAATATAGTGTTTTCCTGGATTCTGAACTTCACATGCATCTGAAACACTTCAACTGGCAATTAGGAATGTTCTCCTGTTTCAGTTAGTGTACCTTGCTGATGTTTGCAAGCCACATTAGCGCTATTTCAAATGTCATCACACTACCTTCCAGCTCATTTGGGAGAAGTGAGTCTTCAGGGCCAGCTGCCAGGATGTCCTTGGCCAAATACAGTTCAAAGGAACATAGGTGAACACATTCTTCTTTCCCATTCCTAGCTAGAAAACAACCAGTGGCAACTCCTACTTCCTGATGTCAGCAATCATACATATTCAAGCAAGGAGGAGTAGCTGGTAGAACAACAGCCAATGCCAGCTGAGCTGATCATAAGAAAAGCACGATCAGTGATGATGGTCACTTGCCAGAATTAGCAACCATTACAAGGTACTTCTACTACTGTTATGTTATGCCAGGTGTTCATAACAGCCATTGCTGCTGTTTGTCCCCCCGTAACAGAGAACAAGCTGTTGCATCAGTTATCACCTCTTCTTCTGTTTAATGGCGACAGGGTCCCTACAGTAGATGGGGTGTTATGCTCATGGGGACAGGAGGGAGAGAAGTATTTAACCAGCAGCCAAGTCCTGTTCCTGAATGGCGAATATAGCGAGGGTGAGTTGAGAATCAGAAGTGCCACCCATGTCAAATGCTGGACTTTGGCAGCTGCTGCCTGACTCTGTTCCAGAATGCTGACCCTACACCTAGTTTGACTCTTAATGTTGAATCTCAGTATCTGAAAACTAGATATGGATGCAGGCTTATTCATTGGGTTACCTAATCTTGCTGTATGATGTGCCCATCATTACCTCTTTGCATGGCCAGCTCTCGAATGAACCAAAATGTGGTGGCCTCTTCTGGTTGTACATGATCTGAGTGGCACAATGGTTTCATAGTAGATGTCAATATTGACCATTTCTTTCATTTTAGGGGAAACATTTTGTTTGGATTATTAACAGAAAGCAAGGACCTGAGCAGCATTTGTCTGAGTCAGCAGTTGTTCCTTTCTCTCACCCTATACCCTGCCCTAATCTGTCATTCAGGGTAAAGGTAAAGACATCCTCAGGTTAAGCTCAACTTCTTGTATTATATGAACAGAGAACTCAGCCCATGCCCTTTTCTTGGCAACATTATGGAAGTGGTTTGCTATTTCTTTCTTCCAGGATGTTTTCTCAACTTTCCAGTCTACCCTACAGCCCTGAAAATCTCCAGTGATCTCACATCCAAGGTCATTTCCCCACTAATGACTTACAACATTTTCATCCCAACAGCTAGCTATTGCTGTATTGAAGTGATAGAATGCCTGTCCTTACTGCTCTTATTCTGGCAGAATAATGACTGGATGATTCTAGAAGATGCTCCAAGTTGCTAGTGTGGAAAAAATATTAACCAGGCCCAAGCCAGCTTAACATCCAAACTGAGACAAGACTGATCAAGTGCCGCTACCTGCTTAGACACCTCTCTGAATACAGTAAGGTGATTCTGTAGAGACTACCCTGCATATTCAGAAATTTATGTTTCTTTCTCTCAGAGATAGGGATCGTATGCATGACTTATTATGAATTTGATTTTTGTTTTTGCATTGGCTCTGATGTTACTTTAATTTGATCAGTACTATCTGGTTTGTTTACAATTGGTGTGAAGTAGATACCCTAATGTCATGGGCCAGCCTTCCTTCTCTGCCCCAAGTTGGCAAAGTGAACATCTTCTATGCATAATTGCATGCGTTCCTGCAAATTTCATTTCTACAAGCTTTTTTTTGTTCTTAATTAGTGTTGCTGCAGTAAGCAAATGCCAAGAACTGAAAACATGGAAGGAATCAGTCATTAAAAATCAATAATATTCCAAGTAGATGAATATGGGAATGAAAGAAAAGAAAGTACTTAAAGTTGGTTTTATTATGTATATACATACCCACACATCACAAATATGTATTTCTAAATCATAATAGATTTTGGAATCAATAAACTAACATTAGTATATCTAATAATTTATCAGCATTAGTACATAACAATAATGTTAGTTCATTAATTTCATAATTTGTTATGATTTGTGGTGGAACAAAGAAAACCACATTAGTTTATTAGGAAAGAAAAAGGAAAAACCAACCTAAATGTCACAAAAGATGTGCAACTTTCAGGTTCTCTGGAACATTTCATCAGGAGAGGAAGTATTAAGAAGCAGAGGATGAGATAAAAAAATAGTAGAAACTTTTTAAAACCTAGGTCCCTTTTAGGTTCCCGTTACAAAGCTAGCATTTTAAATTCAGTTCTTCTGCCAGCCATGGACCACAGTACGGTTAATGACTGACTCTGTTTATACTATGCACGGAACCACAAAGTAAGCTTTACATTGTACAAACCAAGCTTATGTGGTTACCTTATTGTACAAAATGTGTACGAACCCCAGCACTAGGCTGAGTCGTCTTAAGTAGAGATAAGTGTGTTAGGGGAACAAAGCCAGTGTATTAGCTAACTAGAACTAAGAAAGGGTCCAAGCCAAGCAACTGGAAAAAAAAGGGTGAGGGGTTTCCACCGTCCCCAATCCTTTCCACTTTCCATGCATTTCCAGTCTGAAGCTAACAAGTGTCGCAACATCCAGCAGTTTTAAAAAATTATGTCCATGGCAGGGAATGAAGAAGAGGACCAGTCGACCCCCAGTGTTCTGGCTATATGTGCTCATTCACCCCCAGCCCTCTCACTGCATTTCCAGATTTTGGACCCTTCTTAGGTTCTCCTCTGTTGGAGGACCAGGGATGCAGCCCCGCTTGCCAACCCATCCTCGACGAGGCCTCCAGGGGACGACGCCGTTGCTGCTATTCTATAGGGAAGGCGCTGCTCGGGACGAGAAGTTCAGCACCGCCGGTCCAGTCCCACTCGCAGCAGCACAAAGCAGCTCAGCACGAGTGGCCGCGGCGCACCAGGGCGTCCGGGGCGCGCGCGCACGCGGCTTCCCCATTGGT